GGGCACGTTCTGCATGGAGCACTGGGTGTTATGCACAAACAATGAATCATGGAACACTACATCTAAAACTAATGATGTAATGTATAGGGATTAACGTAAGAACAAAAAAAAATTTTAATTGAAAAAAAAAAGAAATACAAAAAAAAAAATTCTTAGAACAGTCAGAGTAAAAGTAAGGATAATGATGCTCCTTGTTTCCTTCCCTTCTCTCTAAAACCTACACATATGTATACACAGGAACACCAGAGGCACTTCCTGGAGGCAGTGTGCTACTTTTCCTCTTTTACTCAACTTGTAATGCCACAAGGAATAATGCTAAATGCTGAACATAAAGGATGAATAAAATATAATTCTTGATCTTCTCGAGATCTCCATGCAATAACTTTCCTTCTCACCTTAAAGTTCCTGTACTGGCTGGTACCTGACAAACTCATACCCGCTTCTTAGTTGAGCACTCCCCACAACTACCTTCTGAGATAATAGTCCTAGGAAAGCAAATTTTGGACCATACACCCTGACTCTCTCTCCTTTACCATGCGCAAACTGATGTGAGTAGAGAAGGTAACCTAACCATAGTATGGTCTGGCCTGCATACTGAGGTGGCCTGACAAGAAAAGCTTTGCCTAAGGAGAAACAAATGGGGACCAGAGACTCCCCATTAGGAATTTGAACTGGGTAATACAGACATGGCCAGGCAGTTAATATCAGGAAAAGACACAGATTCATGGAGAGTCCATGTTGACAAAACAAATTAAGTTAATGTGGCATGAATTTCTGCTGCTGACTTGAGATAGATGACAAAAATAACCAGGTTCTAGGACTACTGTGGGATGTCAAGTGACCTTCCATATCAGCCTGCATGACACACAGCTACACTGCTGTCCCTAGAATTCCTGTGAGATTTCTAGCTCCCTTACAGCAACATGTAACTTGGTCTCCCTGCTTCATCCAGAGATAGCCTTTAAAAACACAAGTCAGGTTATACCATTACTTTCTTCAAAACCCTCTAGCATCTTCCCAGCTCACTCAGAGGAAAAGCCAAAGTCCTCCAAATGATTCACAAGACTCTTCATTCTCTGCCTCTAGCGACACTGGCCTGTGTCCTTTCAATTAGTATTTCTGTATCCTTTGGGTAAATACCTAGTAGGGCAATTGCGGATCATAGGGTAGTTCTATTTTTAACTTTTTGAGGAACCTCCATACTGTTTGCCACAGTGGCTGTACAAGTTTGCAATTCCCACCAACAATGTAAGAGGGTTCCCTTTCTCTGCATCTTCACCAATGCCTGTTGTTTTCTATGTTGTTATTCAGCCATTCTGACAGGTATGAGGTGATATCTCATTATAGTTTTGATTTCTATTTCCCTGATGATCAGTGATGTTGAGCATCTTTTCATGTGTCTGTCCTCCATTTGTATGCCTACTTTGGAAAAATGTCTATTCATGTCTTCCACTGATTTTTTAACTGGATTATTTGGTTATCAGATGTTGAGTTTGAAAAATTCATTATAGATTTTGAATACTAACCCTTTATCAGATACATCATTTGCAAATACCTTCTCCCACCACATAGGTTGCTTTTTAGTTTTGCTGTTTCCTCTGATGAGCAAAAGTTTTTTATTTTGATGAAGTCCCAATAGTTCATTTTTGCTTTTGTTTCCCTTACCTCAGGAGACATATCTAGTAAGAAGTAGCTATGGCTGATGTCAAAGAGGTTATTGCCTGTGTTGTCCTTTAGGATTTTAATGGTTTCCTGCCTCACATTTAGGTCTTTAATCCGTTTTGAATTTATTTTTCTGTATGGTATAAGAAAGTGGTCCAGTTTCATTCTATTGCATGTTGCTGTCCAGTTTTCCCAACACCATTTGTTGAAGAGACAGTCTTTTTCCCAATGGATATTCTTTCCTGCTTTGTTGAAGATTAATTGACCATCTAATGGTGGGTTAATTTCTGGGTTTTCTATTCTGTTGTATTGATCTATGTGTCTATTTTTGTGCCAGTACCATACTGTCTTGAGGTGGTAACCTTTTTGATTCATCATATAGTAAGAAAACAGAAACTGAAAAAAATACAAGAATTTATATTTCTCAAATTATACTCAAAATACAAATCTAAATTTAATAGGTAAAATAAAATTATTATTATTAACAATTATGACAACAGCAATAATATTACCTTTGATTTGAAAACATTTTCAAATTTATTCAATTAATTTAGAATCAATTTCAATATAAATGCATACATTTCATATGCCTAAAGCCATAGAATAACAACCCTAAGTGGATTATAATTGTCAGTTATATTCTTCAGTTTCCTCAGGCTTAAATATCTCTGCCCAAAATAGCAGACAGTATTTCCCCAGGATTGGTATCTTATCCTCAGAAGTTTGGTTCACATACAAGGCAGGACTGGAGAGGAAAGGGAACACTGGCCAAGTCATTTACCTTCTGAACAAAACTAAAAAGGAAGTATGCAGTGGAAGGAAGAAGTATGTTTGAAGGTTTAAAATGGATTTTAAAAATCTGCTACCAATAAATAAATAAATAAAAATAAAAATCTGCTAACCAAATGCATGTATAAGATAATCCAACTGAAAAATGTTAGATTTCCATTCACATTATAGGTAGACCTCCCTACTATTCTTTCACTGCAGTCTCTTACCTGCAGTAGAATCCCACTAAAGCACATAATTTCACTCAGAAGAATAAGGAGGCAGCAGGGCAATTAACAAAGCTAGAAAGAACCCCAAGGAACACAGAGAGAGGACAGTTACCCAAAAGGATGGGAGAGGGAGACAGGCTGGTTCTCCCTTAAATTTGGTGTACATATCACAACATATTAGTTAAAGGCAGCCTGAAAGGCCTTTTCTGGTTGCCGTTTTCCTAATTCTGAAGGAATATTCCTAGAGAGGAAAAAGTGGCTACCCATCCAATGGCCACTTCAACCAACTCAGACAATTTGGAGAGTGATCTACAAAGTCATAAAAAAATCGAACTGTGAAGGGTGCCTGGGTGGCTTAGCTGGTTAAGCGTCTGCCTTCAGCTCAGGTCATGATCCCAGGGTCCTGGGATTGAGCCCCACATTGGGCTCCTTGCTCAGTGGTCTCTGTTTCTCCCTCTCCCTCGGCCCCTCTGCCTGCTCACTCTCTCCCTCTTCAATAAATAAATAAAATAAAAATTCGAATTCTGATCTCAGGGTTCCTGCAATTGTATAAGTGATATCACAAATACACACACACAGAGACACACACAGATACACACACACACACACACACACACACCTCCTAGACTATACCATTCCACATTGAAATTCTAAGGAACAAATACAACCATCATTGCCTCTCCTCCAGTGTGATTTTCCTCAGGGCAGGCAAACTTTCAAAAGTGGTTCAGAATTCCTTATGTTTATAAAGACTAGAATTTGCAGAGACATCTGATGATTTCAATAACAAACAGGTATATTAACTATTTGTAGTTTTCAAAAAAGTGTCATTTATGAATTCTGGGCTTCTGAGGGGAGGAAAAGTTAAGTTTATGGCTCAGAAAGCTTCAACAAGTATTGGTGGCAAGTATTCATAAGGGTTGGCAAAGAGAGGCCAAATTCTGATAGTTTTCCTGACAGTATGGATTACTGTGAATGCTGTATTTAAGGGATTTTCAATGTTTTACACTTCATTTCTGTGATTAAGTTAAAACAAGTGATGTTTTTCTTTTCTACCCGTCCAAATGAATATATATATATACATACTTTTTCTTTTCTTTCTCCTAATGTAACAAAACTAGTAACTAGAAAGATATCATCTTTATGTATATAACTGAGGGCTTACTTTATTCAATTATTTAAAAGTATCACATTAATTTAATACAAACTAAAATGTATTATTACAACAAAGATATGTTATTATATTGAGTAGAAAAATTTATTCTAGATAATTAAACTTATTAATCTTTAAAAACAAAACAAGAGGCTTTTCAAGTAAAATTAGGACAAAAATCACATAGGAGAGTCAAGATTTTTGAAAAAGTATTTTAATAAAATGTTCAAATAAAATTTCAGTTATTTAACTAAGCTTAATATTCATATAATTAATTTTTGTTTGCTTAACCTGTAAGAATAAACCTTTGTTATACATAAAACTGAGGATTTAGTACTATACAGAATCCATCAGAACATCAAACTCACAGAAAATCTGGTTTCCATGTACCATGCAACTACAATGGACTGTAATTTAATCCAAATATCACCACATTATATTTGAAATAATCATTAAACCTAATCACATTTTAATAAAAATTTTTCAAACATACTATAATTTTATTTTTTAAACAGTATATTTAAACATAGTTTATGTTTGCTGTTATTTAGTCATAATATTATTTTTTAACATAAACTTACGTTAATAAGAGCTGGCATTTAAAGGTAATATAATTGTATTTTTTTTAAAAACATAAACCTGTGGTAATAAGAGCTGTTAAACATACTATAATTTTATTTTTTAAAAATAAATCTATGGTAATAAGAGCAAATCACTCAATAAATATTGAACTGAGCACTTCATAAATTGCTCTCTTTAGCACATTCAAATTAACCAATTACTACATTTAGCAAGAGATAATAGGATTATAAGCTAAATCCAAACACAGAAAATAAGTCTAACGTAAAAACAATAGAATTTTTGTTTTTCTCTCTTAATTGGTTCCTTGACTTATTCTATATTCTCCTAATATATGGATATTTCAGAAAAAGAAGCTCCCACACAACAAATAACAATTTTCCATTTTTTTTCTGTACCTTTTCTCTCCCAAATTCATTCATACAGGACTGTTTTCATTTGCTTGGTGGCAAATCCTACAAAAAGTCCAGTCAATTTCTCCATCACCATCTCCTTCTGAGCTTCAAATACAGTTAGAAAAACAGAGAAGTTCAAAGCATTTGGAAAAGCACTGAGGGTCCAAAGTATGCCAGCTGAGATATTTTGTTGAAAAAAAATCTACTTCCTAAAAGTCAACAGGTTAAACTCACTCACAGATGGAGGCAAGGATCTTTGGAAAATGAAAAATCTTTTCATTGCTTCAGTCAGCAGATTTAAAATGCTCTTCATCCACAGCGGGGTAAAAGTAGCCCTCAATGGTCAGATATTCAAGGGCTTGCTTGATGGCCCCGTCGCTCAGGCTGTGAAGCTGGGTCTGGAGCTCATGCACACTTTCACCTTCCTGTTGAGGACACTGACGGATCAAATGCTGAACTTCCTTGTGGATGAAGTCAAGGTGGTAGTAATCGCCATACTTTTGGACCTCTTCTATTTTTGATGGGACAACAGCCGCACTGGGCCCAGAGGCCACTTGGTGGGCTTTATCCAACATCATATGTGCACTGACTGTTTCCAGAATATGTGTGGTGAACTCATTCATGTCCTCCAGGACACGGATATTCAAGACTTCAAGGCCCTTTACTTCCTTAAAACATTTGAGGATACCAATCACTTTGACATATACTCCCACTGGAAGAAGCGACATCCTCTGTTTTGCTTTATTTCTTCTGAGCCACTGGTGGACCTCAATAGGCTTGGTGGTCATATCATCAATTCCGTAAAGAATGTAGCTGGAAGCCCTCTCTGCCTTTCTGGTTATCCCCACAAGAGAGACCTGGAAAACTTCAATTCCCCTAATCTTGAAGACATTGTCAACCAGGGCGGAGATGAGCAGCTGTTTACACAAGGTATAATATCCTGGATTCGAACCTTGGATCTTGGGGCCTTAGTAGCAGGAGCTGCACCACCCTGAAATGGTTGGTCATTGCTTCCAATGGCTCCACCCACAGCAGTAACGCTGCCATAGCTCACAAAACCATTCTTACTCATCCTTAAGGAGAGCTCAGAGAGATTAGGAGGTAGGTTTTCCCTCTAGTCAGTGAGTTCCTCAGGTGGGCTCTGACCTCTACAGAGGGCTACCACCAGAAGCTTCCATGTGTGGTGATGCAAGCAGCCTCCCGCGACCTGTGGAGCCAATCAGCTACCAGAACGCTGCTGCCTCCAGCCAATCAGGACCTACCAGTTTCTCACCTGGTCCCATAATTCTTTGGAGTTGTCTGGTAGTTGCTGAGCTGTATTTTAAAGGCCCGGCATGTAATTTCAAGCCTTTCTTGCCATCTTTATAAAAATACATTTTTACTAGCTACCCCTCCCCTTCATTCCAAAATGCCAGAATTTTTTCTATACTCACTTCTTAAATATTCATTTATTCACCCATATAATCAACCACTCAACAGAAATTTTCAGAGCACATAAGTGCACTATGTAAAGAGCTGTAGGTTTACATGGGGAGGAGCACAAAAATGGTTACGGTTCTCAACTCACATCCTTGTTCAAATCTTAAAACCAGAAGCATTCTAGAAGTAATTACAAGATAGTCATCTTTGAATGATCATCATATTCAAAAGTAAGTCACATCTTACTACTGCCTTTGTAAGTTTTTTTAACTATAGAATTATAATTTTTCAGTTATTCTGACAAATGTACTATGTAAAAATAAATAGTATGATATATTTCAATTTCTACATCAATTCAAATGAGCTCTACATTATTTTCAAGGCTCTATCAATAGGTCAGAGAAATACAAACTGTGGGCTCCATTATATATTAGGAAAAACATGAATAAAACCAAAATACCATTCCTGTATACTTCTATGCAGTAATTTGTGAACTTAAGATTACAGCAATTTATATGAGTATCACCCAGAATATTTTCATATTACATTGAAAACCTATTTTTCCTCATAAAACATTTCATTTTGGTTATAATTAACCTAAAAAGTTTTTTTATGATAATAAAGAACATCAGTTATTGGAATCCACCACTGGCAAGGAACTTCTTTAAAAATCCTTTGTAGTTAGAAAATAGCCTAGGGGCGCCTGGGTGGCTCAGTCGGTTAAGCGTCTGCCTTCAGCTCAGGTCAAGATCTCCGGGTCCTGGGATCAAGCCCTGCATTGGGCTTCCTGCTTAGCAGGGAGTCTGCTTCTCTCTCTCTCTCCCTCTACCCCTCCCCACCGCTTGTTTCTCTCTCTCAAATAAATAAATAAATAAATCCAAATGGCCAACAGACACATGAAAAAGTGCTCCACATCACTCGGCATCAGGGAAATCCAAATCAAAACCTCAATGAGATACCACCTCACACCAGTCAGAATGGCTAAAATTA